ATGCACCACGTAGGTCAAATCGGTACACAGCCAATTGCCCGACCTTCCTTGTAGCACCACGACTCGACACATGCAGCATGATGTCCCGCCCCCCTGTACACTCTCTTTGCTGACATGCACCACGTAGGTCAAATCGGTACACAGCCAATTGCCCGACCTTCCTTGTAGCACCATGACTCGACACATGCAGCATGATGTCCCGAAGACGCTGCTGAAAGAGTCCATCTCTCAGCACCCGGTCTCTCGTTTTCATTCACTTTATCAAAAAATTGACGACCGCAATGTTCTTAAGGGACAAGCCCATCAAGAAGACAGTTACCTACTTCGTCATAATGTAAAGGACAGTAATCCGCGAGACTGCCTCCCCGATTTGGTCATCCCGTTGAGCGCTGCAGAAGGAGTTCGCGATGGGTGCCAACGAACCGCTTGCACGTAATTATGTAAGGAATCAACACACCATCAACTCTGTCATACTCTGCTCATGCTACTTCAGATCTATATTGTTCAGTCAACCAAAAGACGTCGACACATGGCGTCAGCGATTGGCGGGTTTTAATCCAGTGCGTTCATCTCTCATGGCAAAAGGTCGGAAACAAGGCGAGCACTGGAAATCCAACATTTCAGGTGGACGAGTACGACCCCTCACAGAGCGGAGAGGTAAGACGGCTCTCCTGCATTCCCTTGTTCGAATCTTACCGCCATTTTAGGTGACAGCTAAATAGACGTACGCTGGTGAAGTCGGTAAATAGGATGTAAGGCATTATAGTACAATGATACCGTGCACTCCAAAAGCATTCAAACGGAAAGAGGCTGATGCTGAAGGGCGCTCTGAGCCCCACTCACGAAACCGCAAATCTGGTGCCACCGACCTTGCAGACCTCATATTCAAGGCCTTCACGCTGACATGCTTTTTGTGCAGCGATCTGTGGGGCGGTGTGTACTGATTAGCTGCTTCCCTCGACTTGTGCTCACTACATCAGTGATTCTATCATAGTGATATCTGTCCGCCTATCGTTTCGTTGCTGACAATGCCCGTCTTTCGCAGCCTTGGTAGCGTCACTTCGATCTGGTACGCTTTGTCAACCTCGTTTCTAGCCGCAAGTTCTTTAAATTTAGACCCTCCTGAAAATGGTAACTTCTGAGGGGATGAAAAGATCCACGCTACGACGGACTCGCGACCTTCCTTACCATGGTGGAAGATGCGAAACAAGTCGTCATTTATAACACATAACAATCCTACTAACAATCTACTTGAAAGCAATGGAACACAAGGTAGAACCGTCTATCTTGATTTCCATAACCCTGCTGGGCTGTTCATCCTCATTGCATGCGAGACACTCTATGACCCCTTGTAAAGAGTCTGATAATTCTTGTACCCACTCAGTAAGAGAAGCCATCGTCTCCGCCAAATTATCGCTCTCCTGTTGAGGGAAACAGACCATGAGACAAAATAAAGAGAAAGAAAAGGAGTGAAAGAACCTACGGAACTATCACCTTCTATATCAAATTCGGACATGGGACTCGGGCTGGTGTTCCTGGAGCTGAGCACCATGGGGAGATCCTAGATAGTTGCTGAACAAAGTTGCACGAGAAGGGCTGCAGGAAAAGTACTCACTTCCGTGCGATACTGATGCTGGTGCAATCCAACAAACACGGAAGTCGGGGGACTGTAGTCCACGGTAATAGTCGAGGATTGATGTCGTTAAATTCGTTAGGGTATAGTGTCTGTATCACTATCGCACTATTATCTACCATAGTTAGCATTGATAACAACATTTATTATCATAGTCAGCGTTGACCGATGTCATAAATTAGCATTCTTAATAATTATCCAATAGCTTACTATTATAATTAGTATTATCTATCACAGTTAGTAGTGATAACAACAATCATTATGCTACAGTGCGTAGCTTACTATCATGATGTCATCTACAGCTAACAACAACAACTATTATATTACATATTAATGTCCATTATTAATAATTATTCACTGACAGCTAATGAACCGGTCTATTGATAGGTTGGCTGGAAGTTACCCTGCCACCCTCTTTCTCTAACTTTTAATAATAGAGCTACCAGATTTAACTATAACAGCTGCATTCTTTCTTGAAAAATTTAAAATTTACCTCATCTAATAATTTTTTTTTTCTTTTTCAATGTGTTTCCTGGGCAAATGCCAAGTTTTTTGATTTTTTTTGATCATTCACTATACTTTTGCATGGCTACACCAGGCTTATTATAAATGGTACTGCCAACAAAACACTGGATTCATTTTGAAGCAAATGGAAGCATTACATTTTAAATGTGACCAAAATATCTCTTTCATGTGCTGCTGGGGCAAATTTGAAGAATGTTTTGTATATAATCAGAATGTTACCATCACTTCAATGTTGCTCTCATGATAAATTTCTCCAGCATGTGCATGACAACCACATCTTGCCTGCATGATGGGTACATTTTTTCTGTGGCTTTTCAATTTGCCCCCTGATTACATCGGATGCATTTCATTTGATATGTCATATACATGTGCCCAGCAGTCCCATGTTAATTGCATTTGTGTGTGCATATTTACTTTAGCATGGTGATACATCAAGCATGTGACCAGAATCCGCCTATTGGGCACATTGTGGTCACATATTAAATAAACAAATCAGCCACATATGATAGCCCATTTTAATGGGCATATTTTTTCTGTGGCTAGGAATTCCATGATATTTGCATTTTGGAGCTTACTTGAATTAAATTTCAAATGTGCATGGTAGGCATATGGGAAGAATATGGGAGAGCATTAATGCCTCCAATCGACATTTGCTTACTCATGTGCCCATTGGCCAAATAGCCGGTTCTCCCCTGTGTGTCGGTGAACAAGATCAAAAAAACATCGGCAAACTCCGGGATAAGTAAATTATTGTGAAGAGTTTGGCTAACCTCCCTCATCCATAAGTTCTTCTCGAGACTGTGATTCTTACTATTTACATAAACTATGCAAGACAATACGGGCATTGTAATTTTCTCTGTCTTCGGCTGCGATAGTCGTTTTGTAGAAGAAAAAAAAAATGCGAGATATTATTTTCCGCCGCTTCTCACTAGACGAGTCAGGCAATCCAGACCTATCCAGACGCGACATCGGCTTTCAAAAAGTTTCCGCTATGAGATCAGGGTGAAGCCCCGAAAGATCTTAACAGGGTGTAATATACCGCTTAAATTAAATCCGGGCGCTGCACCCGTCACCGGATATTTAGTGGATCCTACAATTATTTAGTTCTACGAACTAGGAACTTGGATGCTAGGCTATCAATATTTTGACTTACTCGACATATAGAACAAGGGTTGCGTCTAATTCACTTTTAGGACATCAAGAGCAACACTCTAAATTCTGAGCCGGTGCCCTGCTGAGCCCGCAAGCCCATCGCCCGGAGAAAGACCAACATTGTGACCACGCGGTATAAAGTCATATAATTACTAAGTCCCGAGAATTGTAAACCGAGTTGCCCCAGGCGGTTAAATGTTGTTGACAAGCAGATACTTGTAGCCCACTGGCAGTCGGGTTTCAAATTTCGGGGGTTTTAGGCATCGTGTAATACATCTACGTGTATTCAATCAATTGAGAAGCGCCTGTCGTGATTGCGTGATTCTGGGTTACACCAGGTTATGGATCTCATTATAAGCGAAGTTCGAAAAACAGATCTTACTTAGTTTAGTATTTACACTGATCACACATTGTCCGCATTCTTCGCATTTTAACAAAATTTCCAGCAAGGCTCCATTTCGTCCAAATTTTAGTTAGAAGAAAAAAGCTCTCTCATTTATGTAAATTCAAATACGACTGGTACCTTTCCTTGGACGGTAGTGAACAGCTACAAACAAACCACAACTGTTGAGAAAAAAGAAACTATTCGGTATTTGTTTGGCGATGGCACGCAACTCACGTCGCGACGCGTTGTGCATAACTCTACCCTCTGTCTTCCACCATCCGTTGCTGAACCCATAACGTTAAGTTAAGCGGCACGGGCTCGATTCCCGTCGGGTGTAAGTTCCCTTTTTATCTTTTATGAAAATTTGCCACAAAAACTCAAGTACTTGGCGCCCTCTTCCTCTATTATGTTCTGCTTCCACAGGGGCACTGTAACTCTCCTGATCATATTACCCAATTTTAAACAGGTTCTCTGGCAAGCTGAGAGATAGCTATAAAAGTACCAAAAAGATATGAAGCCTGTGTGAAGCGGTCTCATACAATGTGGAGCTAGATTACGACTTCAAGTTGGGATGGGAATCTTTTTTCAGAGGCGCGCAGGGATACAGGGTGCAACAGGCAAGGCTGAGGTTGATGACATCGACAAAATCGATGCTGAAGAAATGTTTTACTTACTTGACGATGCAACCGAGAGAGGATCAAATGAAAATTATCACTGCTGAGACGAAAAGCTAGGATTGACTAGAGGGGATGTATGGCGACTCAGGAAAACTTTGTCCTCTGCATCCTTTTTTCCAAGTGTTCTGGCTTCATTCTGCTTTCCAACTCCCACATTTTGACGTGTCGCGTAGGCGTAAAAGGTTGAGTCAGGTGACCAACAGGTTCATTTTGTTCCAGCGTTACAGTAACATAACCCCTGCCCGATTTTCTCAAAGCCCGGGGATGCTGCATGCTTATTTTCGATCTATAACGACACTTTCTTGACGCGACAACTCATCACGCGCACGGCCTGTCTTGACTGGCTTCTGAAGAATTGCAGCAAGTTTAACTTTGATAACTTTTTCGAGACATCTTTTGGGAAGCTAAAACCGCACCTCGGAACTTGTTACACTTTCTCATACGGATAAGGAGTCTCAGGTATGGCATTATCCTATGGATTGGCTCTATCTCCGGATTCTATGACTCGGCCGAAACGCGCCTCCCTATCAGCTTCAAAAAGCAGAATCTCTATCATGCGCTCATCCTTGCTTGGGGTTCTTCAAAAGCGAGCCCTTCTTACATCTGACATTACGATTCAGCGCTCAAGATGGTTGCCTCAAGAAGCTCTTTGGACATACCTGTCTTCGCTGGTCAAGGATCCACGTCATCAAGTTTCACTCAAACGCGCGAGTGCAATGCCAGCTCGCCTATTGGAGACGTTTTTCTCTCGGCGTGCCACATGGCTTTTTACGCAGAACTCGTTTCTCTGTCGTCAAGTGATTTTAAATCAACTGGTATCGACATGTCAGATTTTGCATCAAAGGATTCGCTTTTGACTGCTCCTGAACAACCTCAATACCTCCACAATCCCATAATTTCTGGATCGACGATATTTCTCGTTCAATCTCTCCGTTACCTTGCTTATATGGATCCCTTCGACCTCCCATGTGCCTCTCTTCGTCCGTTTACTGATGTATGGAAGTGCAACGCTGATCACGGTATTGGATTGCTAGGATTCTCTTCTGGTATCATCACGGCCTGCATCGCCAGCACCTCACCAACGAGGATTTCATTTCTCTCTCAAGCAGTTGAGGCATACCGCTTGGTTTTATGGATCGGAATACGTTCACAACTTTACCGCCAACAAGCGCTTCTGCGTGCTTCCCTCGATGCCAATACGGACTTGCCGTGGAGTTTGGTATTTTTCGGCATTGACATGCACGGCGCGCAGGAAGCTCTCGACACTTTCAATCAAGTAAGCTGTTTAACTTCTACATCGACTATCTCTGTTCACAAGGAGATCAGGATCTTGGATCAGACTACCTTTACATAACTGCTGTGGTCGAAGAAACATGCGTCACCATATCTGGCCGTCCAGATCGTCTGGCACACTTCTCAACTGAGCTTCTGAATAATTTCGGGCATGGGATTACTATGCACCCCACCACGCTCAATACGCTCTATCACTCTCCCGTTCACACTGACAATTTGCGCGTGCAAGTGCTCTCTGACGTAGCTTCCAGGAATATTTCGTTCCCCAAACTCTCGGACATCATAATCCCACTAAGATCTACCTTCACTGGTGAACTCATATCTGAGGCTGCTTCAGATAGGTCGCTCATCGAGTTGGTTCTGGATATGGTAATCATTCAACCCGTTTATTGGAATATACTAGTCCAGAAGATTTCTGCGATCATTCCAGAACGTGCGTCTGCGCGGTTGATAAACATGGGTCCTGGAAATGGCCTCACCCGGAGTCTGGAGCGAGCCATTGTCCGGAACATCCCTGACCTCCTTGATTGCACAGTAGTCCACGTCGCAGCACCCGAATCCGCGGGGATCAAGCAAGAACCCATTGCGATAATTGGAATGGCTGTAAATATGCCAGGGGCTTCGAATACTTCCCAGTTATGGGAACTACTCGAAAAAGGCCTCAACACCGTATCCGAGGTATTCAATTTCCTTCAGTCTTACGGCGCACTTGACTGCTATTTCGCTCAGATTCCCGAACATCGCTTCAAAGTTTCTGACTACACGAACGGTTATTACCCAGGCCGGAAAATGAAGGCACACACCGGTAACTTTTTACAAGGAGTTGACGAGTTTGATCATAAGTCAGTTGGACACATAGGCTTTCTATGTTGAGCCCTCGTCGTTCACCGTCTTCTCTTAGGTTCTTCAAAATTAGCCCACGCGAAGCAAGAAAAATGGATCCTCAGCAACGAGTTTTACTTCATGTTGCCTACGAAGCACTCGAGGATTCCGGCTATGTTCCATATTCTTCGCCTTGCTTTGACCCTCGGACTTTTGGATGCTTCGTTGGCTCCGCGACGCATGATTATCGTCACAATTTGCGCGACGACATTGATGTATATTATAGCACAGGTATATATGTTGGATACGTTCTACTCCCTCGAGTGGGATATTTCTAACTCCGCGACAGGTACACTCAACGCCTTCTTAAGCGGTCGCTTGTCATACGCGATGCAACTCAGCGGCCCTTCTGTCGTCGTTGACACAGCTTGCTCGTCATCGACCGTTGCTCTGTATCAAGCTGCACGGGCGCTCATGAACCTGGACTGCAGAGCTGCGATGGTTGGAGGGATAAACGTTATTTCAGCTCCTGACGTAACTCAATGCGCCGCTCACATATGAGGGTATCTACTAACGCCACTTTGCATAGATGTTTCTCGGATTGGACAAGGGTCATTTCTTAAGCCCTGCTGGCCAATGCAGATCATTCGATGCCTCCGCCGACGGTTATGCTCGAGGCGAAGGCTGTGGAGTCTTCGTTCTGAAACGTCTTTCGGACGCCGTTGCTGAGAACGATAAGATTCTAGGCGTCATTAAAGGGGTGGAAGTAAATCAAAGCGGCTTAGCTCAATCCATTACCCATCCCCATGCTCCTACGCAATCAGCCCTACTCGAGCAGATTATATCCAACTCTGGCATCGACGGGAATCGCGTCAATGTCATAGAAGCGCACGGAACAGGTACACGAGCTGGAGACGCCCACGAACTGGATAGCATCCAGAGGGTTTTCTCAGGTCATCGCTCACCCAGTAACCCTCTATATATTACGTCCATCAAGGCGAATATTGGTCACCTTGAAGCCGCTTCTGGTTGCGCGGGTCTCACAAAGCTCTTACTCATGTTCCAGCATAAAATAATCCCAAGACAGATTTCGCTACAAAATGTTAACTCGCAAGTCGCCCAGTTATCTGCCGACTACGCACTCATCCCGAATACCAACATACCCTGGATCTCAACGCACGAAAATGCCCCTCGAGTGGCCATTTTGAGCAACTTTGGCGCTGCTGGGTCTAACGTTGCTGTACTTGTCGAAGAGTATGTCCTTCCGCAAAAGGACCTATCGACCAGACGATCCTCCTTTGTTTTCGGGATATCAGCGAAAAGCGATATAGCCTTACAAAAAATGCGCGTTCAGCTTGTATCGTGGCTACAACTCCCTGGCAATCGCGGCACACCTCTTATAAACTTCGCCTACACATCAACTGCCAGGCGTCAATTGTACAACCACCGGTTGTGTGCATCGGCAACAGACCTGGAAGACTTGATTCAACAACTCGAGAGTGTCCCCATTGTGCGCCTCCCAAAAAAAGTCACACAAGTCATATTTGTCTTTTCCGGACAAGGTAGCCAGTACCCCGCCATGGGCTCCCGTCTTTATGAAACTTCTCCCATATTTAGGCAACATATTGACCAATGCCATTCCATTTTGACAGAATCTGGATTTCCCGGCATACTGCCCTTGATCGTAGGCCTCAATGACGTCGTTTCTAAACCGGGAGAGGAGTTAGTGGCCCTCCAATCATTCTTATTTTCTTTGGAGTTCGCTTTGTCCAAACTGTGGCTCTCATGGGGGATACGACCAACGGCCGTGGTTGGTCACAGGTCGGTGGCCAATTTCATAAACAGAGTCACTCTAATACAATGACCAGTCTCGGAGAATATGTAGCCCTGGTGATCGCACAAGTTCTTTCCCTCAAGGACGCTATCTTCATCGTCGCCACGAGGGCCCGCCTTATGGGACAGAAATGTTCCCTCAACTCCACAGGAATGATTGCGGTGTCGCTTGGACACGAAGAAGTTAGGAAAATCTTGGAGTCGAGTCCAGTCGTCGCAGACCTTGCGATTGCTTGCTACAATAGCCCAACAAGTTGTGTGGTTTCTGGTTCCCTAGTCCAGATCAAAACCTTCAAGTGTCTCTTGGACGCTCAATGTCTCGCAAAAAACGCGATCCTCTCTGTACCTTTCGGCTATCACAGCCCCGCCATGGTGCCTTTGATTGACACCCTGACAAAAGCCGTCAAGTCTATCAAAATTTCGCCACCCACGATTCCAATTATCTCGAACGTCTCCGGAACGGTCGTTCAACCTGGCGACAAATTTACGTTCAATTCCGCATACTTTGCTCAACATTGCCTTCAGCCGGTGAGATTCTGTGAAGGAATTGAATCATTCCTACGTGATCCAGCCCATACGGCATTGGATTTATGTTGGCTTGAAATTGGACCGCACCCGGTTGTTTTACCCATGCTCAAGGCTCAAGCCAAATTGCCTGAGAGTGCTGTACTGCTAGAATCGCTTCGGAAGCGCGAAGACGCATGGACGACGCTGTCTAAAACTCTTTCTCGGATGTACACCTCAAATCTTGACGTAAAATGGCGTTCTGTGTTCACAGAGATGGGACCAGCCTCATGTGTCACTTTACCGTCGTATCCGTTTTCCAAAGAGAAATTTTGGGTTCCATTTGAGGAAGGACACAGAATCGCTCGTGAATCCGTCAACGGGCGTCAAATTCAGCACACGTTTCTCCATTCCTGGGTTCAATATCCTTCTGTCGACAATGGGTGGGTTGCTATTTTCGAGTCACCGATAACTTGCCTGGAGAAGTATATTCGCGGACACACTGTGGCTAACGCGCCTCTTTGTCCTGCGTCAGTGTACTTTGAACTTCTTTATGCTGCGACTTCTCTTGCAAAAACTTATCTCGGATTCGATTCGGTTGACACCCATGTCGTTTTTCGCGAAGTTCAGTTTTCCGGGCCTCTAGTACTCGATCTCTGCGTTACACAGACGGTGCAGATTATTTTGACACTTAGCGACGACAATGGCCACTTCAGCATTAGCTCTCGTACCTCATCGTCACCAGAGGCAATGACTCACGCGAGTGGCGAATTCCGGTCTCAGTCCTCAGCGCACACCTTGGCTAAATTTGCCAGAGCGCTTCCCTATATCGAACGTAGGTTAAACGCAATCCCGCAACCTCAAAACGGACAGGCACCCAAGGTTTTCTCAGCTCGAACCGCTTACGAGGTTATCTTCCCCCGAGTTGTCAATTATTCACGGGAATATCACACAATGCAAAATGTCTTTGTCGATGTTTCCGGAATGGAGGCCTGCGCGACCATAAAATCGCCTTTAATTCAGAATGGCGAAAACTTTGTGGTCCATCCCATCTTTCTGGATACAATTTTGCATATGGCTGGTTTCGTCGCAAATCTTCAAGGCGACATTAACGACGCTTATATTTGCAAGGAGGTTGGTTCAGCAAAAATTATACCTAGCCGAATCGATCCCTCTACATCCTACACGATTTACTGCAACACCACCATGATGCCGGGACAAAGAGATATTTCAGCGGAATGCTTCGTTCTCACTACTACGTCTACAAGAGAGGTTATCGCGCACATGAAGGACATTCGTTTCCGAAAGGTCCGACTGGACACTTTGAAAGCAAGGCTTTGTCGTATGACTCAGAATGGAGCCACCCCCATCGAGGCCCCCCTGATAAGGCATGGTGACACATCAGCTGCATCCCCGGAGCTTTCCTCCTCCTTCTCCAACACCGAAAAGAGGGTAGCGCAGATAATTGGCGAGGCATGTGGAGTTAATGTCGACAATGTTTTGCCTGATACGGATCTCGAGTCACTAGGGGTGTGTTCCCTGATGTGGATAGAAATCTGGCATAACATTCGTCAAACTTTTCCCTCGATGGTGGTTGAGCCTAACCCCGCAAGCTGCAGAACAGTATCGGATATCGTGCAGACAATCTGTGCGGCGCTCAGAGCGGGAAAGAGAGTGGATATCCCACCGGTAAGCAGCGTGGAATCTTATCCTCGTCCAAAAGGGATGTCCTCCGAGTCCGATCCGAGCTTTTTGGCCATCGGCGGGCAAGTTGATGTAAGGGCGATTCTTTCGAACGTTCTCGGGATAGCACCAGAAAATATTGACGATACGAGCACCCTCGACTCACTTGGACTGGATTCCCTTGCCTCCATCGAAGCTCTCCACATTCTTAACAAGGTCCACGGACTTCAGCTCCCAGATAATTTCTTTTTGGAACATCCGACTCTTCGCTCAATCCAGTCATACATTTCCGCTCATGACCCTAGGCCTCGCATCAGGCCACAAGCGCCGTCTCTGAAGGTAGAAAGCTCAGATAATATCTTAGTTCGTATTCAAGCATCGTCCCCGCCCAGGCCACCGCTTTTCCTGATCCATGACGGCAGTGGTCTTGTCAATTACTGTGGTCGCATCTCGCCTCTCGGTCGGGAAGTATGGGGATTGAAAAACCCTCGCTTCTCGAGCGCCCAACCGTGGTCTTCGCTTGTGGACATGGCGTCCGCATATGCTCAATCAATTCTGAAGGTTTCTACAGGCCCATTAATTTTAGGAGGTAATTTAATAATTTCAGACCCCCCGGGACTATCGTTGCTAATTCTTTGTTTGCACACAGGTTGGTCTTTCGGAGGCGTAGTCGCCTTCGAAATTGCAAAACAGCTTGCTGCAACGCACATCAACGTCATGGGCGTTATCTTGGTCGATTCTCCCAGTCCGAAAAACAAAGTTCCCTTATCGGCCGCCATGGTCGACGCCATCATCTCGCCAAACACGACGGGGAGGGTTACGGAGGCGTTCAAATTGACGAAGCGGCAGTTCTTGATGAATTCACAGATCCTGGCTGAATATGATCTAGAGGCCATCACATCCGGCTCTTACCCTCGCCTCATCTTTTTGCGCTGCATAGAGGGATATAATTCTGTCGGAGTTGATGTTCCCCTGTGGTTTTCCGACCGAAAAAATGTCAAGGGGGTTACTGGCAACTGGGAGGGAATTGTTGGACAGCCGGTGCAAGTTTTAGATATCCCTGGTCACCACTTTGAAGCGTTTAGTTCCGCGAATGTGCGTTACCACTTTTTCCCCCCCTTTACTCTATAATTAACCTGCAATTTTAGATTGAACAAGTCTCGAAATGCATCGCCGAAGCCTGCACGATCTTGGAGTCTCAGTAATAAATTCCTTCAAAATGAACATAAGCCGAAGCGAATTGGAAACGAAGTCGAACTTAAACACGTAATACGCAGAATCCGCATTGTTATCAAGGCACTTATGAGTAAATCAAGTACGAACGTAAAATTAGACACATGATCAATCAATCCATGTCGGCTCTACGTGGAAATGTGCACGAGGACTATACTTTTTGCCCTTCCTACGTGCATCTTCATACTCCGCCTCCATGCGCAACTTCACACTCCTATGAACCTTCACTCCGTTCTTCGCCTGCTTGGGAATGAACCTTGGCCGGGCCATGTTCGACCTACAAATCAAGGAATCATCATCACACCCATGAGCGCATTGAAGGACACCACTTACCCAATATACGTCACCCATTGATTATTTCCCCTCTGATAGCGTAATTGCAGAGGAAGAATCTCCAAGGCCCACCATGCCTTCTTAATCGTCAACTGATCATACGCAGGGCTCAGCGCATCCTTCAACTCTTCCTCCTCCTCCGTGCCCACCTGAGCTGAGGCATGCACGCCCTCACTCAAGCCGACAACCTCAGGGTGCTCCTTGCGCTTCTTCACCAAATGCGCATGGAGGCGCACGGGGATGGGGTTGCTGGGCACTTTGGCGATGCGGTTTGAGCCGAGGGGGAGGGGTGGAGGCCGGGGTGTGACGAAGGGATAGAGGGTGGATGGGTCAAGGCCGATGGAGCGGAGTGCTTGCGAGTCGAACATTATGCCTGTGTTGGTTTTGAAGCATTCCCGGATCATCCAGCGGAGGGTTATGCGTGCGAGGGAGTTGCGCGTTTTGTTGCTCACTGAGCCCCCTCCTACGTCTGTTAGAACAATAATGGTTAGAATCTGTGTTGTGGATGAGGTAGAAATTGTTAAAATTTACCGCAATGACAACCCTGAAAACCTATTTAAATCTCAGGAAAAAGGAGGGGAGGAAAGTACTCACAGCAAACCAAACCTCCTCGATATCCGTAGTCTGCTCGGACGCCGTAGAATACATCCTCTCCATAGTGTTCAGTTTCCGATCATGATCACTCTCTTTCCTAGTCTTATGTTGATGCTGATGATCGTTGTGACCACTCCCTTGTCCATTTTTCCCATTCGTCTTCGGGGGGTGATGATGATGCACCTTCAAATCGTCGTCAACAAGTGCGCACGCGGTATTGGACGCGTTGAGCACGGCGTCTTTGCCTAGCTTCAACTCATCCGCATCGGGCCTGTTCCATAAATTCGCTTTGAACTTTGCGCGTCGTTCATCCAGTGCGACGGCGTGTCGGAATGTTCGGACGATGGTGTTTGAGGTTGTGAATGGTAGTCTTTTGGGTATGATGCCCACGGAGTCGACGGTATCCCTAATTTCAAAATTGTGAGTTTCACGGAAAGACAAATATATGTGATGGTGTGAATTCATACCAAACCCCGACAAATTCAATATTGACGTCGACGGAGAAGGCCTTTTTGAATTCAGTTGATTGTTCCCAGCCGACGTGGTCCGCTCGTTTAAACATCTTGTAGGCGAACGGGACTTGCTGGAAGTTATCCTTGGGGAGAAGTCCGACCTTGTGAATCATCCCTGCGAGACTAAGGCATGTTTAATTATTGCGGTCGTTCCGAGTGGATTAAGTTAAGGACTTACCTTCGGGCTGTATATGCACCTCGAGAAAATCCTGTCAAGGAAAACATTGAGCAATACGGCGGCAACAAAAGGCGAACAAGCGCCAACCAAATATGCAGATCCTGTCCCCAGCAATGTCTTTATCATATCAGCATTCCACTTCACCCCCCCTAATAAAAGAAGGCCCTCACAATTCTGCATCAAGAATTCATACCCGCCTAAGACCCACCATATGAGTCATGCGACGTAAATCCAGGATTCTATGTTATGTAGTACTCACTCATGACGTGTGCATGAAGGTTCCAAGCAAACATCTCATCCAACGTCTAACGCCATCCAAATCAGCGCCGCTTCCCAACCGCTTTGAGAAAAATCGTGAGCCCCACCTTCCGAATGGACGACATAAAGGGCGTAGCAATATTCGGAGCAGTGTACGTCCCAATCCCCGCCTAACCAACGCACACGATCATCAGTTTTGCTTCCCGAATAACCCTCTCATAAAAAACAACCAACCTGATAATAAACCATCTGCTTCGACCGATCACTCTTCTTCAACGACGCAACAAGCTGCACAATATTCGAATTATCAGCATCGAACTGGTCCCCCGTCCCATCAAAACACAACACGAGCGTGCGGTAATCGGCCGCGGAGGGGTCCCGGGGCGGGATCGTCACAGGCACTGGTGTTTCCCCCAAAGGACTACCCCCTCCAAGCTGCTGGCCCTCGGCAGAAAACGGGGACTTGTCGTACGCGGATGGCGAACTCGAAATGGCCTTTTGAACCGAGTCAGTGTTGTCCGAGAACGCTTGAGCTGCCGTTGCCAAGATTGGGGTAGGTCGACCGCTGCGGTCGACGACGGTATCCCCCGTCAAAGTCGTTTCAAGTTGGGAGTGCGCGATGGACATGGCGGGGTTGAAAAGCCTGAGATTGCTTGTGGGGTCCGAGTCCTTTTAGCTCCTGGGAAGTTATCGCAACTCGGTATTTAACTGGCGTCGCAGCTTGGTATTTATAGTATGTACTTACATGGCATGGAAGCACCAAGTACTCGCTCGGGGCTCGGAGATGAAATCAGAAAGTTCCCAGTTGGAGAGGGATTTTTCGTCTACCGCGTCGGTGGAGCCGAGCAGACGCCCAAGGTTTTCTCCACGGATCACTTGAACCTGAAGGGTCCAGACGTCCAAGGCCGACCGTGACGAAGTTGACCAAGACCTCTGAGCAATGCAGAAGAAACTCAGAATCATCGAGAATGGCAAAGTTGAGCGTTGAAAAATTGGACGTTGACTCGGACGTTCGAACACGCGTCGTTGCAATTGCATGGTTGTCTACATCCTCATAAGTAAGGCCATTCATGTATCAGCAACAAGATCGTTCTCACACGAACGCCATTGGTCCATTCTCCCTGTCACCTTTCTTGATTCGAGAATCGAGAGCGCTGAAGGCTCCAAGGGCGCCTGTGTTCCTATCTATTAGCTAGTAGTATTAGTAATAAGACCAGATAGGTGGCCATGGGTGCGAGCAAGGTGTAAAAATTTGGAAAAGGGGCTACAACTTATTCGACACAACCTTGCCTGATCTGAAATTCAAAAGAACCAAAAAGGGACGTGACTAAACAAATCACCCTTGGACCTCCGCACAATGGAAACGAGCCTCTCAGTTCAGAATTACGGAGATGCCACCTCGCTGTGGGTGGGACTGTTCCTTATCATCGCTACGGCAGGCTGGTTTTACAACTTCGCAACGACTCGACGTCCGCCACCCACACAGCAAACCAGCTTCCCAGATCTCCCCTTCCAGTATTACGGAGACGCGGTCAGGACTCGTATGCACAGCTCTGCCACAGCAAGTGTACGGAGGCATCCTAGGACCGATCTCGAGACCCTCACGCCTTGGACCTCCTTCCCGAATGATATTCATCAAGCCATTCTAAGAAACACTCGCGCACATTCACTTACAACCACCCCCTTTCACCTCGACGTTCGCACACGGGACACCAATGTTCAGAATGAAGAGGCGATTCGTACACACGCGACCACTACATTACTTGAACCAGCTACAGACGTGTTGGAGAAGTTAGGGGTGAACGGATCTTTTGCCCTTCCAGGCGGTGGGAATATCGCGATGGTAGGAGATCCTGATTTCTCATGGATCACGTCCGATGAACAACCACATCCCAAACTTCCTGTACGTATACCAGTCCCTTCTGTGTGCTGTAACACCAACAGTGCTTAGGTTGAGTACAAAACCTGGTGGGCTGCGGATTTGGCTCTGATTGTTGAAGCCTTTCGTCGTCACCAGCGCGAGGAAAAACTCGACACCCTCAGCAAACAATCTGTTGACGCGCTCGAACAAATATACGGCTATATGTCGTTCAACAACAATAGATTCGGTATTCTTACCAATTGGAAACACGCCTTGTTCTTGCGTCGCGTTGAAACTCCCAATCGCAAGACCCTCGAATACTTCTTGCTGGAACTAAACAGAGATGGCCGACCACTTTCGATGCTCAAAGCAGTGGTTGGCATGGTGTTGCTTGCGGAAAATGACTGGTTTTATGCATCCCCTACTCCATCCTCTGTCCCTGATGGTCAACTCTTTGGTACCACCTTGCCTGCCTATAAGAAGAGGAGGGAAGCAGTTGCCGTTGCTCATGAATATGATATGCGACCCATCAATGGTGCATACCCATGTCAAGCTATTGACTTTCGCATTATTCGCTTCGATCTCAGCTCCGCTCGCCGTGGAGCGAACGGCTGCACAGTATTTCTATCTGGATTCCGTTGGGATTGTGATATCCCTGTCGTCTGCAAGGTTGTCGACGCCTTGCAATATCCTGATGCCGCAGATTATCTAGAGTCTGAAGCTCGCGTCTATGCAGCTCTGCGAGATCTCCAAGGCAAAGTGATTCCCAAACTCTATGGATTCTATCAAGTTTGGGGAATACTGAAGTTACTCGCACTCGAAGATGTCGGTGAAGCCATATCTGAAAATGAAGAAATAAGCCAGGGACTTCGCGACAAGATGAGGGCCGCTCTCTGGCGCATTCACGATGCCGGTTATATCCACGGCGATATCGCGCGTCGTAACTTTTGTATGAAAAAGAACGGTGACGTTTTCTTAGTTGACTTCGAGACTTGTCGACTTTCTGTGGACCCACTTGAGCTGGTTGATGAGATGGAGCAGGTAGACATGTTATAAATCCTTTGTATTGAATAGAAGTTGGTTTGTCTTTTGCCTCATGTCCGCGACTCTTGTTTCAGTTTTTGTTACTAAGCTCTTGTAGAGGCTCAAGCACTCATTGAGCGATACAGGCGGCTACTTTTAGGGGCCTCATTGATTACCGGACTATCCGATTCTGGGATTCCCGAGCCCAATCGCACCAAGAAAGCTCACATGAAACTCCAGAGCCCGTCTACACCCTCGCCTAGCGAACTACACCCTCTCCTTGCGCTGGCCAGCCACCTTTTCCTCATCTGCGATATATCAGGAAGCTGGACACTGTACCCGCGCAGCAAAAGGAGAGCAGTCTCGTTAGCATGTACGCCTGACGGTCAAGGTCTGTTTGGTGCTGACTCCCTTTTTTCCCTGCATTTTTCTCACTGCCTTTCCATCATGGTTAAATTGTGTGATAGCGTTGGTAGAGGGCCGGATAGCGATATAATATTTCGACCCTTCACCCGCCGCATAAGAAAAAAAAATACGCGTTCGAATGCCACAACAACGACGCAGACCACGTATGGCCCCGTCAACGCGCTCGCCTTCTATGTACCAAACGTACTTTCCACCACCTTTCTTTTCAATCTTCCGCTCATCTCATTGATCGAGTTTAAACAAAGTGTTTACTCAAGTCCAATAGAAGCCGACCAAAGGCTAGTTGCACGCGCACAACAGCAGTCGTGTGTCCGCCGACACACGACTCAGAGCCGCTGCTCTTTCTTCTCTTTCATCTCACGTGATCCACGCTTGGATGCGCGCTATGAGGTCCCAATTTATTTTTAGATCTTACCCCTCATGGTTGAGGAGTGAGCTTGAGACGCCCCTTTCCGATAGGCTCTCGTCTCGACATCTCACTCCTCAACCAGGTAAGATCCCCAATTTTTTATCTAGACTCTCGTCTCGATATCTTACTCCACTATTCAGTGTTAACATACGCGTTTTTCGTCAACACTAATACTACGTATTCATCGTTCCTCAATCTATCTCATGAGTGAAGGACATGCAAACCTCTTCGCGAGCGCAATCCCAGAAAATGGATCATCCAACACCATGGGATCAAATCCAGTTGGACAAAGTGACGAAGATCAAACCAACTCTACTAGACAGGATGGACCTGGAACTGGAGACCGAGCCAACTCTGTTGCGCAGGATGAGAACCTCTACGATGACACTGGGGAAATCCAAGCGCCAGCTCGAAACAATGAGAACACAAGCAATGACGACCTCGACGAATTCACTCGAGGAGAGAAACCTCAACTCGAAGAAGAATCCGTCAGATATATGGATGACACGGTCGATAAATTCAGGAGAGGAGAAATTACGAAACTCAAAGCGTTATCGAACATTATCGGAGCGCTCAACTTCGATCCATCCAAAACTAACAGAGCGAAAGACAGTGCCATCGAAATCTACGCCAAAACCTTGGATGAATACGCAGCCCTCTCTTCTTCAGCGATTAAGCGAGGAAACCATGCCGCGGTTGGACTCGACCCTAAATCTGTTCAACCGGAGCAACGTGAACCCAAGAACGTTGACGCTAACAGAGCGATTGACGAGCTCATCTCTCAAATCAGTAGAGACAGCGACAGGTCGAAAAGGGGGAACTCCCCTTCAGGATCTGATGATGACGACGATGGAGACGAACCCTCAAATAAGAAACGAAGAGTTTTCGAATCCGAGATGCCCTGGTATAATCGAGAGGAAGAAGCCAGACGTAGCGGAAACAGAGATTGCGAAGAATCTCGACGAATTCTCCAAGTCTTCGCCCGTGACTACAAAGTTGTCAGACAGTGGATCCAAAATTCCAGGACTGCGCCGCTCGGTTTCCCCACTTCAGAATGGGACAACATCATTAAGGGACAAGCCGTCAACCTCGACGCAGTGTTCTCCTCACTGCACCATATTTCCGCTCCTAAGGAGAACGTTGGACGTGTGGGATCAACTGAAATATCCCTTGGGCGATCAGATCCAGCAAAGAAAGTCCAAACGAGTGGCGAATGGACCAGCGCCTGGAACGCCACCGTCAAAGCGATTAAATTCGCTTTCCCTCACAGGGAACAAGAACTCAGGGATTATGGAGAGTACATCGAAGGACACTTCTCTGCTAAAGTCACCTCTGCTCACAGGAAGATCATTCTTTACGACATCGCCATCCGAAATGAAGTCGGGGGTGCCCAAAATGCCCTTCTCACTGACACCCATCGCTTCATCAGATTCTATTCTGCCATTCTCATGCCAGACGGAGTTGAATCAGACCACGTCAGATTCGGAGCCAAACGATCTTCAGGGAAAGTCACAAAGTCCGAGATCTGTAATCGCTTCAACTCATCCAACGGGTGCAGGAACTCTGCCGACGACTGCAGATTCCGTCATGTCTGCAAGAAATGCAAGCGGCCAACCCACGGGGAGAGAAATTGCGATATCAAGGAGGGAACTAGCACATGAATTGCGCCCAAAATATCTCAGGTACAACATTTGGGACGGCGCTAATATCTTTTCTCGCTCTTCTGCTGACTGGACAGAGACCGCCTCACCTTTACCTGAAATCCCCGCCTCTGAATTGAGCAATCCTGTCGCGACGAGAACGATTCGTCAAAACCCACACTTATTCGATATCGTCACCCCCATCTTCGTTGACCGTTTCGAGGAACTACTTGAAACTCATCCAAACAAACCCTTCGTGAAATCCGTGTGCAAGGGTCTCCGAGAAGGTTTCTGGCCCTGGGCCGATACCTGCTTCGGGGAGTATCCTGACACACTCGATGCCTCACTGCCCGAGCCAGACAACGTTGAAGAAGCGCAGTTTCTGAGAAATCAACGAGACCACGAACTCTTCAAAGGTTGTTTCTCCGAATCATTTGGAAACAAACTACTACCTGGCATGTATTGCATGCCAGTCTTTGCTGTCCCCAAACCTCATTCCACTGACTTGAGGATGGTCACTGACCAAAGTGCAGGGAAATTTTCGCTCAACAGCATGATTCCGCGCGAGCGAATCATAGGATACCCACTAGACAACTTACAACATCTGGGGCAATTCCTGATCTCCCTGAACGAGCGTTTCCCTGACTCACCTCGTGTGTTATTCAAATCGGACGTCGCTGAGGCTTATAGGCTTCTCCCAGTTCATCCCTACTGGCAAATCAAGCAAATCAATCGCATTGGTGGCTCTTTGCACGTTGACAGAAATACGGCCTTTGGCGGGCGCGGTTCAGGATGCAACTGGATTGCATTCATGTCGCTTGTCTCATGGATAGCAAAGAAGAAACGGGGAATTGAACTCCTGGGTACGTACTCGGATGATTCTTTTGGCCCAGAACTCGCAGGAAACATTGCCTACTATCCCCCATACCGCAAGCACATGCCCGCCAACCAAGTCAAATTACTCCAACTCTGGGACGAGATCAATCTACCCCACAAAGAAAGCAAACAAATCTTCGGATCACCGCTCACCGTCATCGGAATTGAAGTCGACGCCAACACGCTCTCCATGACGATGCCCCCCGACACGCTACAAGAGTTGATAATCGCCATCCGCGATTTCATCTCATCAAAGCACAAGTTCACTTTACGTGAATGGCAGAGGTTGGCAGGTTGGATCAACTGGAGCTTCAATGTCTTTCCCTTACTCAGACCCGCACTTAACCACTTTTATGCGAAGATTAGTGGCAAATCAGCTCCAAACCAATTCATCAGGATCAATAACGCTGTTCGTGCCGACCTCATCTGGGCTGCAAATCATTTAGAGCGTGATTGCGGCGTCAGACTCATTCAGCAGATTTATTGGGACGAACACACTGCTGACTTCACAATTTTTTGTGACGCCTGCTTAGAAGGCATGGGTTTTTGGATACCTGGCGACCGTGTCGGTTTCTACTCACCTACCCCCAGTGGAACCAGCGAGGAGCACATCTTTTTCTTCGAGGCACTATGTGTTCTATCCGCCATACATCACCTCACTGACATCCTCTGTGTTCCTTCCACAACCAAACTTCTCATCTACACCGACAACGACAACACCGTTGCCATCTTCAACACCTTGAGATGCCTCCCTCATTACAACTCAATCCTCATCAATGCCGTTGACACATGTATTACCCACGACATACAGCTCAGAGTCCTCCACATCGCTGGAGAACTCAACTCGGTCGCTGACGCTATCTCCAGAAACAATTTCGACGTTGCACGCCAATACGTTGCGGATCTCACTATTTCACCTTTTCTACCCCCTCAATTGCCGCTGGGGGCCACGAAAAAATGATCCCCACCACCGTGCGGGCCAGGCAACCCCACAGGGAACCCTGGTCACGGGAGAGGCTGCTCAGAGAACGAGCCATCGCCCTCGGTCAAGCAATTGACAACTCTACATGGAAAAACTATGGTTCCGCCCTCAACTCCTACCTCAACTTTATCAAACTACATGATTTCCCCCTTGATCCCACCCCTGATACTCTTAGCCTTTTCACAGTCTACATGTGCCACCACATCAAACCTGGCTCTGTCGCCACTTACCTCTCTGGTATCTGCCAACAACTCGAACCTTATTTCCCAAATGTACGCACAGCCCGCAACTCTGCTCTTGTACATCGTACATTGCAGGGCTGCAGACGTTTATGTGGAACTCCAACTTCTCGCAAACGTGCCCTCACTCTAGACGACCTTGCGAAAGTCGTCAACGCACTCGGAAACTCATCTGACTACGATGACATGCTCTTCCTTGCTCAATTTTTAACCGGCTTCTTCGCCCTTTTCCGACTGGGTGAAATGACTTATCCAGATGACCCACAACTTCGTGACCCCAGGAAAGTCACCAAGAGAACTTCTGTACGTTTCTCCGATGTCTCTTTTCAATTCTTTCTGCCTGGCCATAAGGCCGACAGATTCTTCGAAGGAAACACCATCATTGTTCGGAAGAATGCACGCATCTTCGACCCTCATAACCGCTTTCTCGCATACTTACATGCCCGCGACCACAAATTCCCCTACAGCTCGCCTCTATGGTTGACCAGCAAGGGTGTCGTACCCACCCGCGCCTTCTTCATCAGACGCCTCCGACGTTTTTTCGATTCCGACACTGCAGGCCAATCTCTCAGAGCTGGAGGAGCAACTTCCCTCGCTGAAAATGGCGTGCCACCTGCGATCATTCAAGCCATCGGAAGATGGGCCTCAGACGCTTTCAAAATCTACATCCGCAAAAACCCCGTTCTTATCCACGCCTTACTCTTTGGCCAAACCGCACGCTCTGCGTCCTCATACATCCACGCTTTGGATTCCTAACTTCCATCAAGCCCTTTCCATTACCTTTTACAGACTTTTTATTTACTCACGGACTTTTTTCGGGGATCCTCA